CCAGGGAGACATCATGTAGTTACTGAAGGAACAAGAAGCCAAAACCCTAAAGGGTGGCAAGCCTAGGTGGAACAGAACCTCCTTCAACAGTATACTTTAAAGATGTGTTTGTAGTGAGATAGTCCTTCTGTGGCACTGACCACGCCCTTTGGGGGGTGGAGCGATGGGTGGAAGTGACCTGTGGAAGGAAGTCGGGGGGAGAGCCAGGAAAAGCTCTCTTGCCAGGAAAAGCTCTCTTGCTGGCGTGACTCAGACAGGAGAGGATTGGGTTGAATTTCCTGGTGTTCATCTGTCTAGGTTGTAAGTTATTTCTCCCTGAATAAACATCTATTCGGCCTATTTGTTTATCCTGATCCTTATTTAACCGGATATCTGGTGTCAGAAGTGGGATTTCTTACTAGCCACGTGGGCGCCATCTGTAAGAAGTATGGGTTTTTCCGCCCGCCGCCAGTCTTGTCCTGCCGCCACACCAGCCCCAAATAATACACAGAGACTCTGTATTTGATATTATGCTGTTGGCCAGGTGCTAGTTTCTTATCGGCTAGCTCTGTCTTAATTATTAACCCATTTCTATGTGTTCACAACAGAATGGAAACCAGGACAAGTGTTACATTGGAGAAAGGGTTTTGGTTTTATTTCCACAGGAAAAGAAAAGCTATGGGTAACATCAAAATTGATAAAAGTTCTATTTGAACAAGAGACCTCTTAATTAGAAGAGATGATAGTTCATCCAACAGTTTGGCTGTTCAATCTAAACTATCTTTAAGATTAATAAATGCTTTGCATTTAATCAAAATCCCCAAAGGGGAACCCCCAAAGATTAGGATTGGGAAAGAGTTCTTTGTTGTTGTTTTGTGTTTTTAGGAGAATGAAGGCATCCAGCTAAGGAATCTAAAGACAACCGGACAAATGAGAATTGTGAAGAAAAAGGACTAATCATTCAGGAAAAAAAAGTCCCAAGAAAAAGTAAATTGGCCTGCTGGTATATCACATCTGCAAGGGGGTATATCACATCTCCAACAGGATAAAATTTCATAAATCTTCATAAATGTCTGTATTTGCTGTTCTCTACAAACATATAATAAAAAATGGTCTTTTTTTGTAGTCTCAGTCCAATTAAAAATTAAAGCTAGCTTTTGAGTTGGATCGTGGCTCCCTCCTTCTCTAAACCCAGTATGCTTGTTAAAATTAAAATCCAAAATCTCCATGTCAGAATAGCCACCTGAGATCAGATAGAAAAGCCAAATTTAGGGACTATTCTATTACTACTAACTCATGATCTTTGGTTTTATTTTGATTCTTGAACTCTTTTTCTTAAGGTACAAGTATTATCTTAAAAATTGTAAGATCAATATATATGTATTTTAAACTCTTTGCTATGATATTAGTGGTCATATATACTACTAACTAATTCTAGAAAAAGGCTTCATCTAGTTTTCTGTGCATAATTTCAGGTTTGCATCTCTATCAGGTAAGTATGAATTAAGTTTCTGTACTCTGAATGTACATAACAAATATTGATCCTTTAACTTCTTTGAGATCTGCTGCATATGACATTTAAAATGTTTAAATTTTCTGCAGTAAACCATGACCTTGCCTAACAGCAACCTTTGAAGTCTCCAAAATGGGGGGTGGCCCCATAACAATAATTCATCAGGACTGACAATGCCACTATGCTGACAAACACCTTCTAAAGAGCAGCTTTGAACTACAAATTGCTCTGGACAGTTTTGAGGTGGCTAGCTGAGATATTCCAGCCTCACAGACTACTACTCTAGCCAAGACTTGAGACAAGCCCTGCACTTTCCCATTACACAGAGACCAGACAATAAATGATAGAGCTACCTCTCCCAAGACTTGACAATTAACCCAAATTGTTCTTTTTAGGATTCCCTAAAGATGGTGTCACCCCCCCAGAAAGCAGGAAGTAAATTTAAGAACATGACACCCACATTTCCAAGAGGAGGAATGGGTCATTTTTGGTCTTTCTATGTATGGTCTTTCTATGTATGGATATTTGTCAATGTTTAGGGTGGTTAGTTGCAAGTTAAAAAAAAGAAAAAGAAAAACTGAACAAAGATCAGATTCAGGGTTCTTGTGTTAAAAAAAAGAAAGAAAGAAAGAAAAGGGGATATAGAAATGATAGGATAAAAGGGTAGATTATTGAATCTACTTTTAGCAAGCAACTACATGTTTTAAGTATTTTACATTATTTTACATTGAGCCAGGCATTGGTGGGGCACGTCTTTAATCCCAGCACTCAGGAGGCAGAAGCAGGCAGATCTCTGTGAGTCTGAGGCCAGCCTGGTCTACAGAGCTAGATCCAGAAGTGGCTCCAAAGCCACAGAGAAACCCTGTCTCAAAAAAGCAAAAACAAAAAATTTTTACATTGATATGAATCTTTGTATATTGATACAAATTTAAGATTATTTTTGTTAGCATGTACTGTACATACATTTCTAATCTTGTTCAAGGTATTGTACCTATGCAAATTTGTCATCCTTGAAAGTTATTATTACAAATTATTTAGGATAATAAAGAAATATAAGTTAATACCTAGTCACTTATTACAATGGAATTTGTAGTCATATTAGTAAGTTTTCAAGGTTAAACAGAGATTTCCTTTAGATAGGTCATCTTCAAACACTTCAGATATCTACACAATATGCCACTTTGGTTTTGATTTTTCGAGACAGGGTTTCTCTGTATTGTTTTGGAACCTGTCCTGGAACTAGCTCTGCAGACCAGGCTGGCCTCAAACTCACAGAGATCTGCCTGCCTCTGCCTCCTGAGTGCTGGGATTAAAGGTGTGTACCATCAACGCCTGGGTCAGAATATGGCATTTAAGATGCTTTAATAACTTAGTGTGGATATATTTTGTTAATGATCTAACAAATAAAGTACAAAGCTAGACACACTAGTCAGCCATAGTGTCCAAGGAGTGGTGGTAAACACCTTTAATCTCAACAGCCACACTAGTTAGCCATAGAAGCCATGCACTGGTGGTACACACCTTTAAAATCAGCACTAGAAAGGAATATAAGTGAGGAGAAGACAGGAATCGGTCTGCAATCAAGCTGAGGTCGGTTTGCTGCTTTGCTTTTCTGACCTTCAGCTTGAACCCCAACATCTGTCTCTGGGTTTTTGCTACAACATGTTTTTTGTTTTGTTTTGTTTTTTGTTTTTGTTTTTTAATGACAGTGAGACATGTCTGCTACTGGCAGCACCAATCTACTTCAGAGAAGATGATGGACATTGAAGAAACTCCTTATAGAGTTAACTTTCTTTGTGGCAAAAGTTAGCCACTTGGGCAAGAATATGCCCTTTTCTAGACTGCTGGCAGAATGCTGTCTAAATGGGACAAGCAGGACACAAAAGGACTGCCGAACTTTGCCAAGACAAATTAGGACAGCCTTTTAGAAAACACTGCTTCACATATAAGTCTGTCAGTTATTCCAGGCCTGTAGGCCCAAGATAGGTGCCCCAACATTGCAAATGAACCTTGGGTGACTGTCCAGGAAGCCAGCTGTTTATGATATGTCTCACATTTTTTGGAAGTTGCTTGCTCACACTTCCTGCTTACTTGGTTAATATTACTTCCTTCTCAGGTCTCTGATAGAGTTGAAGACTTTATTGCTGTAGTTTTCCTTGTTACTAGATTCAGAAAAGAAATTCCTAAAGAGGCATAAAATGTCTAAGGTTAAGAGACATGAAAAGATAATTTTGGTAATGCAAGTTAGAATAGAAAGTGAATTAGGGACAACCCTTTGAATTTACCAAGATAGGATAGATATGGAGTATTTTCTCTGAATTTGTCAATTGTTACTGGACGAGACATTGTTGATGTATTTATTGCCTGTATATATTGTATTTAGGTTTTTATATTAGTTATAACCTTCTTTTTATTTTAGAAAAATAAGGGTGGGAATATATTTTGTTTGTGCTCTACCAAATAAAGCTTGCCTGGAGATCAGAGTGATGAGCTAGCTACTAATTAATCATAGAAGCCAGGCAGTGGTGGCACATACCTTTAACCCAAGAACTTGGAATCTCATGCCTTTGATCCCCATACTTGGGAGGCACACACCTTTAATCCTAGCACTGCGAGGGGAGGTGGAGATAGGGAGTGATATGGATGAGCAGAGAGAGGAATATAAGGAGGGAGGAAACAGGCTCTCACTCCTTTCAGGGTGAGTTAAGAGGTAGCTGTGGCTCCTTTATCTTTTCTCTCAGGATTTACCCTGATATCTGGCTCTGGGTTTTTATTATTAAGACCAATTAGGATTCCCACTATAGATGCAGGAGGATTAGTTTTAGAATAGCCTGAACTACACACTTCCAGGCTAACCTTGGCTATACATTGAGACTGCGTCTCAAAAACAAAACAGTAAGTTTGGTGATGGCACACAACTTTAATCCCAGCTTTTGGGAGGCAGAGACAGGTACTGAACTCTATGAGTTCAGCTATGTAAAGAAAGACACTATCTCAACAACAACAACAAAAGATAACCAAAGAGCACATGGAACTAAAATTCTCTCTACATCTGAAGGGAGTCCCTCTAGTCCCTAGTTTTTGTCTTATGGGAGGAGTTTGCCGAGAGTCAATGTCCATTATAGGCACAATTGGGATACACCAGGTAATGGATTTGACTGGAATGGTATGGGATCCAATTCCTGCTGAAATTTAGCCTGTGAAAGAAGTATGGAAAGGCTGAATCCCACCTCACTATAGAAAGAGCAGGCCATTGAGTTCTGGCATACAGATGGAAGGGTTCTATTGTTTCAGTGTCCATGTGCAGTGTGTACACTCAGACATTTCAAATCAGACTTAAGAGAACTTGGAGCAACCACACTTGCTCAGCCTTTCAGTCAGGCAGAGGTGTGTTTCCTGACAGGGGGTTACCATCTGACAATATTTTATACACACAATGAAACAATGGAAACTTAACAGACTGCTTACACAGTGCGTGTATACAAACATAAATTGATCTGGAACTTACCTGGTGTTTTTTTTCAAGTTCCCATGCCATATGGAACACATACTGACAGGACAATTTAAATCCTTTTGTGACCAGTACCATCTTGCAATCTGAAGACAGCTTAACCTTGTCAAGTTCCCTTTCCATTTCAAATCCTGCTTTTTTAAGAATTGATTGTGACACAGGTCCACTTTTAAGGTCATATTTGTATCCAGAATTAACAATAACATCTGTCTGAAAAGGGAAGAAAACACAGGATTCAGTGTTAAATCTCTCCTCTTTAAATGACTAATTTGTACATTGGTGGCACATGCCTTTAATCCCAGCACTTGGGAGGCAGAGGCAGGTGAATTTCTGTGAGTTTCAGGCCAGCCTGGTCTACAGAGCTAGTTCCAGGACAGGCTCCAAAACAATACATAGAAACCCTGTGTCAAAAAGCCAAAACAAAAAAAATATTTTTTTAATGTCCCACATCCACAAAAATTGATTTCCCAATAGAGACTGATGTTTCTAGAGAATTCATTTCATTACTAGGAAGCTGTTTTTCTATTTTGAAATTATGTACATATATGGATGATATTGTTATTGCATCCACATTTTGCTGAACTATACTTCCTTAATTTCAAGCTTCTGACCATTCCTTCTGGTGTCTTTTGTTTTAAAGACTATTTCCAAACTGGAGAGATGGTACAGTGTTAAGAGCACTTGTGGCTCTTGCAGAGGACCAGCTGGCACATGGCAGCTTGCAACTGTCAGTAACCGTCTCCTAGGGGATCCAAAGCCCTCTTCTCACCTCTGAAGTCACCAAGCATGCTTTTGGTGCCAGACACACAGGCAAAACACATATACCCATAAAATACTAAAATGAACTAAGAAAAGGTTATATTTTCAATTGTGTGTCTGTCTCTGTAAGTTTGTACACATGAGTATAGTACCTGCAGAATCACGAACAAGACATGACATTCTCTGGAGCTGGAGTCAGAGAGAGCTGTGAGCTGCCTGATTTGGGTGTGGGGACAGAACTAAGATCCTCTCCTAGATATCTTTTAACAGCTGAGCCTTCTCCCAGCCTCCTTGGTTGCCTGGTTGTTTTAGTTTTAAGGACAGGGTCTCACCATGCAACCCTGGCTGGCCTGTGACTCATTGTGAAGATTAGGTTAACCTTAAGTCCACAGAGACCCATCCATCTCTACTCCTTCAGTGCTAGGTTTAACGGCATGCACACACCTTGTTTTGTTTTTGAGACAGTGTCTCCTGTAGCTTGCCTGCCCTGAGACTTCCCACATGGCTGATGAGAACCTTAAATCCCTATCCTCTTGCCCCTTCCTACCCAGGGCTGGGATTTCAACATTATGGATTCTGTTGATTGAACTCAAGGCTTTGTGCTGCTAGGCAAGTACTCTACCAACTCAACTACATCTTTTTACTTGACTACCTACTTTGTTTTTGTTTTTTGTTGTTGTTTTATTTTTATTTGGGGTTTATTTATTTATTTATTTATTGAGACCAGGCTTCACTATATATTCCAGATAAACCTAGAACCATCTCTTCATCTCTCCAGTGCTAAAATTTGTGTTGTTTACCCCAGTGCTAAGGATTGAACCCAGGACCCTGCATATGCAAAGCAAGCATTCTATCACTGAGCCAAATCCCTAGCCCATGGTGTTTTTTGAGAAAAATCCTTACAGGTTTCCTTCTCTGCCTTACCTCCATCACTTCCTGCTATCTCTATGTAGGTCATTTTGTAACAAAGAATAAAGTTTCTTAGGAACTCTGCCATCTCACGTCTTTATGATCTCATGTACAAGGTTCATGTACAAGGTTCTAGAAGTATAAATGAGGCACGGGTTTTTAGTGAAAGGTGGCTTCTTTCTTCATCGGGTCACCAGATATCCTCATCCACCTACTCTACAGGCAACCACTTTAACCAGTACAGCAGCAGCAGCTCTCAACCTGTGGGTCAAACGACCTTTTCACAGTGTTGCTAAGACCATGGGAAAACACAGATATTTACATTATGATTCACAACAACTACAAAATTACAATTCAATGTAGCAAAAAAAAAAAAGTAATTTTATGGCCAGGGGTCACCAAACATGAGGAACTGTATTAAAGGGTTGCAGCATGAGGAAGGTTGAGAACCACTGCTCTACAAAAAGAGACTACACCAGTTATATTTTATACCACTTTATCTTGTATCTTCTAACTTTGAGAGCAGTGTTAAAAACAGTTGTGTTCTTGCAACTTCAGTGCCCAAATTCTTATCCTAACGTCTCTGGCTCCATCAAAGGAAACTCACAAGCACTTCTATGGATTTTGTTTGTTTTGAGACAGGATGTCACTAATATAGTCTTGGCTGGCCTGCAACTTGATTTGGATCAAATTCTCTGTCTCTGTTTGGGGTGTTGGGAATCCAGGCATGTGCCAAAGTGCTGTGTTTATCAGGGACCTTAATGGTTTTACCCTTCAGAAAATCTAAGGTTCCTAATGCTGCTGACAGCAAATGAATACAATAAAATTTGGCAATAATGCTTCTGTACTCTGATTTTAAATGCCTACACTAATGACTCTTCAGATGTTTCATTTCACAGTCTCTTCCGTCTTCACTCTGGTCCACTTGTAGGTCACTGACAACCTGTTAACTATAACTTGACTGTGGCCACAGGACACATCACTGATCCAAAAAAAATAAAAATAAAGCTATGGCTTTAATCTTGAGTCTATCCAAACTCTGAATCTCCCGTCTTTGGGTTCCCCTGTCTCTCTGACCATCGCTTCAGTCTCCCTGAAAGCCTTCCCTCCTGGCAGTTCACACCTGCTGTTTTTACCAGTTCAGGGATCCAATTCATGCAGAACCTACCACAGAGCACCCCAGCCTTCAGCTGATTTTAGAGGGGTGTCAGTTAGGGTTTTATGCTCTGCCCTACCAGCATCACTTTTTGGTACTTCTGTGTCTGTCTTACTCTGATTACAAATTTACATCCTTTTGGGGTTTTTTTGTTTGGTTATTTTTGTTTTTCCCCCCAGATTTTTTGAAGCAGGGTCTCATGTAGCCAAAGCTGGATTCTTCAAACTCGGGGTGCCCAGGAGGAACCTGAGTCCTTGATCATTGGGGTTCTACTTCCCAACTACTGTGATTACAATGGTGGGCCACCAGACCCAGCCATGCCTAAATACGACTTTGTTTACTATTAATGCTGCAGAAAAGTTGAGTGGTAAGATATTTCCAAATAAATGATATCTTTTTAAGACTAAAAATAGGATAGATCTACAGAGACGACTCAGTGAAGTGCTTCCAGAAACTCTGTAAAAAAGGCCAGGTGTGGTAATGAGCACTCATAATCCCAGCAAGCCAGAGAAAGCCAAGATAAGAGGTTCCCTGGGGCTAGCTGGCCAGTTAGCACATTCCACTTGACAAGTTCCAGACCAACAAGAAACTGCCTCAGAAAAGAAGCATAAACATTACTTTAGGAAGACAGCCAAGGCTGACATTTGGCTCCTACATACACAGCTAAGCACAGGTGTGCAAACCCACCCACAAACATGCACAGACACACACAAACCTACACCTATCAACACACACACACTAAATCCATTCACTTACTAAATATTGTGTATAAATGTTTGTTTTCATTTAATTGGACTTTGTTATATAAAATAAAATAAAATAATAAAAAAAATTCATTCACTCATTCATTCATTTTAGTGTTCAGGTGGGGAAAAGTAGCTTTAATTTCAGTACTCAGGAGGCAGAGGCAGGTAGAACTCTTGAGTTCAAAACTAGCCTGGTTTACAGAGTGAGTTCCAGGACAGCCAAGGCTCTATAGAAAAGTAAGATAAACATTTAGTGCTTGAGGCTGAGCCAAGAGGAACATGCTTCAAACCCTTGCTTCAAAAACAACAAAGAAATATGAGGAAGTTTAAGTTCTTTGGGATCAAAGAGTATTCTAACTCCTTATGGTTCCTAAGCATCATAGCCTAAGAATTTTAGCTCCCATATTAACCATGTCCACACACAATTGGAAACATTTCTTGGGTGCTGATTCCAGCTTTCAGATGTCAAGTGCTGTCATTATGTTTTACAGAGGAAGGACTGAAGATAGGAAGAAAGAAAGTAGTTAAGAACTAACCAAGGGAGTCTCCAATCCAGATGGCTTAACCCCAACATCAACATTCTTAACCCCAAAAAGATACATTCTATGGTTTTCCACTTTAAACATCTTCATAACTGACAATAAATTTGGGGCTAGAGAGATGGCTTAGCAGTTAAGAGCACTGGCTGCTCTTCCAGAGAACCTGAGTTTGGTTCCCAGCAATAACCACCTATAGTGGGATATGGTACCCTCTTCTGGTATGCAGGCATACATGTTGACAGAGCATTCATTCATACATAAAATAAATAAGTAGATAAATGTTTACATTAACTAATTAATTGGAAACAATTAATTCCAGGATTCCCCTCTGTCAGTGCCAGAGCATAAAAACAGACTTACTGTTTGCAGTTCAATACAGCCTTGGACAATCTGGAGAGTCAAGCCCTGGCCAATTTGAAGCATCACAATGGAAGAAGGGATAGTTCCTGCATTCTCCCAGGGGCTCAGATGAGCCAACTTCCTCTGGACATTTTCTGCTGCATACTTAAAGGATGCAACAGTGCGGTCCTCATTGCTCACCAGATGAATCTCTTTCAAATTACCTGTCGGCTGCTTCTTTTGGAAATAAAGCAAGATAGTTTCTAAAATTGTGTCTGTGCACAAATCCAGAGGAAACTGAAAAATTCCAGAGCTCAGGGCTGGAATTGCTACAGTCTCAATGTGTGTATTTTGTATGCAGACATAGTTTAGGATATTCTTAATGGCAATTCTCAGAAGTTCAACATCTGTCTGCCTGCCTGTCCACCGAGGCCCAACAGCATGGATAATCCAATTGCAAGGAAGCCTCCCTGCTTTTGTCACAGTTATTTCACCAGTTGGAATTTTCCCATACATAGCAATTAATCTTCTGCTTTCTTCTTGGATTTCAGGGCCACCAGCTTTCACCAGGCTCCCAGCCAAGCCACCTCCATGCAAAAGTTCTTCATTGGCTGCATTCACCACAGCATCAACAACATGTCTGGTGAGGTCATCCTTCCAGACAGACAACTCTATTTCCGGGGTCAGCCTCTTTCTGAAGACCTGCTGAGCAGCAGCGCTGTTTCCTGCTACAGTTGGACAGCTCAGGATAGAGATGCACCCAAACTTATCCTTGAGGACTTCACACAGCTGACCCTCTATGCTTTTTAAAATTTCGAAGACATTGTATTTAATGGGAATTTGCCATCTGTTGTGTTCTACAGGAGAACTGTTGGCTGGAAAAGGAGAAGAGACAAAATAAGAAAGCAATGAAGAACAGTTCCTTGGAAAAGGACATGATTCCTTTCCACACTACAGGATTGAGTTTCTTACTCCTAAAGAGAGATGACCTTCCACTCCCCTCTTACAGACTCGGCTTTTCACCCACACATGGAGTTAGGCCAAGGATATGTATCTAAGGGTCTTCGATGACAAGTCATTTGAAAAGGTTTCAGTCTTGTGTGTGGCATTTAGTTAGCACTCTTTGAGGATTCAGGCATTATGCTGGCCTGCCCCTGTCACCTGGCAGAATGTACTCAGGCAGTACCATGGTCAGCCCGGGGTTCCATGGGTACTACTCTGTATGCAGGTGCAAAGGACCCCTTTAAAAGACAGACCCTGCCCACTTTACCCTCAGTTTTTATCTTTTCTGTTCTTTTCCAGCCCTCTTCCTGTTCTCTCTTCCCATGGTTCCCCTGGGCCAGACAGGACTTTTCCTGTCTCCCTCTTCTGTCCTCTCTCTCTTGTCTCTGTGTCTCTTACCTCTTTTCTTTTCCTTCCCCCACCCCCTTTCTAATAAACCTTGTCACTTGAACTCTGTCTGCCTGGCATGCTTGTCCCTTGCCATGGTTCCCCTAACATTCCCTAAGTGAGAAAACCTTGTACCAGAGGTAAAAATGTCTTGAATGTATGTGAAATTTGTAAGTTTGGGAAGACTCATGCACACACATGCTAAAATGACTTAATTGTGAATCTAAAATATAGGGAAGCTGTATTCATTCATACCTTCGTGTGTGTGTGTGTGTGTGTGTGTGTGTGTGTGTGTGTGTGTGTGCGTGTGTGAATTTACATTTGCTTAGAAGAAAGTCCTGAGGTTAGACTTTAAAATGTAAGTTGTTTAAAATGCCAGGGGTTCTTGTTAAGGAGAAAAGATAAGAAACTAGGACAGGAAACCAAAAACAAAAAAGGGATAATGTGTGTGGTAGTTAGCAAATGAAGCTTAACCCTACTAGAGCGCAGAGTAGATCAGGTAACTCAGAGTTACAGCCCTAGAGTGGTCATCCAGAAGCCATGTATCTAGTAAAGTAGCTTCTTCCCTTCTAAAATTCTTTTTTAAAAAATTCTTAATTCCTTTACCATATTGTGCTGCCAAATAAACAGAAAGCCCTTTGTTAGGGACAGACCACAGGACAGACAGGCATCAGATACACACAAGAGTCAGACTACAGACCACAAACTTCAGAAAGATGAAGAACAGGAAAAGTGGAGAGTGTAATTCTGGGCTTGCTCTTGGTCTACACTACCCCAAGGGCAAGTGTCTATTCCTCAGTGAGTTGTCACCAACACAGCCTCTGTGTCCGAGACAGGAAAGAGTGCCAGTGAACCGGGCTCATTTCAGAGACATTAAAATACAAGGAAATGTGCCTCCTAAAAGAGATTAAATGTGGTAATTTACTCCATTTCTGGTCTGCACCACCAAGAAAGACCTCTGGTGACCTCTCTTATCTGAAAGAAGCCACATCTAAGCAGTTGATTTCAAGTGGCCAGAGCACTCATGGGAAACCTCAGGAGGGCCACTCCTAGAATTATTAGGTAGGTTGACTCTTTCAGCTTCTGGCCACCCTTTCTATCCATTCTGTCTGTCAGGCTATGGCAGAAGCATCTCACAGGAAGGAGAGTATGATGTGAACCTTTGATCTCAGCACTCAGAGTCAAAGGCAGGCAGATCGGAGTTCCAGCCAGCCAGATCAAACAAACAAAAGGGAAGAGTCTAACATATGCCGACAGGGAAAAGACAGTGGGGATCTTCAGAGGACATGTCTTCAGCTGTCTCAGTGCCTCTGAAACAGGTGCTGGCATCTCCACAGAGCCTGCAGTCAGCCACCTGAGCCCCTGAGGGGAGACAGTCTCCTGCCATGTGCCTTCTTCAGCTTGAGGGAAGAGCTAAGCAAAGCCATTTTTAAACAAGAGGGAGAGGCGATCATACCTGGTCTTTCTGTGTAAGCTGCTCTTCCAGAACCCTGTGAAAAAAAAAAAAAAAAGACAATGGCTCCTTTAAAAGCTTGGAGCTGCAAAAGCGGAGATGATGGACAGGAACACAGTCTAGTAAGAGAAAGCAATGCTCAGAGCACGGGTTTTCGGATGGGGGTTTAGGGAGGAAATGTTCTGGTTGTCCTTTGTGTAGATTCATTACTCGGTTGATTTTTTTTTTTTTTTTTTTTGTTTTGTTTTTAACCAATGTGCCTAAAACACTGAAAATACTAAAAGCTGCATCAAGTACTGATCCTATTTGTCTTCGAGATCAATGTACTTTTTGTCTGTTCATCTCACAGTATGCCCAGCCAGTCTGGCCTTGAACTCACTATATTGCTCAGGCTAGCCTTGAACTTCCAGAAGTCGTCATACCACAGCCTCCCCAGTTTTGAGGTCATAGGTGTGTACTACCGTGCTCAGCTGATATACTTTGAATTCAGAATAAGACAAAAGGCTGGAGGTTAACACCTGAAAAGGCACAAAGGCCTCAACCAGAATGAGCCAAAGAGCTCAGACATACTCCAATTTCCAGAGTCTTGTGGGGTTTCCCTGGCCAGGAAGAAAGCACGAGGGGCTGCACCTCCTCACTACTGTAGGGTCCACTTCCATTTGCTATTCCATGACACAAACATTAATTTTCAGGTCTACTCCACAAGGTGCCTTTCTCTATTCCCGGTTTCATTCCTTGAGCACTCCTTACCCATCCTGAAAGAACTGCTGAGAGAGTGAAGGAAATCCACATCACATGGAGATGACCCAGGCTGGGTCTCATGCAGCCCAGTCTGGCCTTAAACTTGCTAGGAACTACCATGCCCAATTTATGTGATCCTGGAAAGTGAACCCAGGGCCATATGCATGTACAAAAGCTCTCTATCGTCTGTGTTACATTCCTGGTCCCGGAGATGATGTTTTTAAAAAGTTGACTCTGCTAAGAGATTAGTATATTATTGTTTATGTTTTGAACGTAGACAGGGTACCTCAGGCTTGCCTGAAACCCTCGGTGATTCTTCTGCCTCAATTTACTGAGTACTGGAATCATAGGTGTGTGTCACCATACTGAACTATATTAGCATATTCTTGATGTTCCATTTCTCACACAGTACTACAAAGAAATTCTTAAAAAATTAATTTAACTTTATATGTATGGAGTTTTGCCTGAATGTATGTCTGTGCATCACATGTATGTCACAGGGGCCAAAAGGGGGCACTGTATCCCCTGGAACTAGAGTCACAGACAATGAGTCACCATGTGAATGTTAGGAATTGAACCTGGGTTCTCTGGAAGAGCAGCCAGTGCTCTTAGCCACTAATCGAAAAATCTATGTGAGTTTGTGCACACCACATGCATTAGGAGGCAACAAAGACAGGAAGAGGGCATCAGATCCCCTGGAACAGGAGTTATAGGCAAGACTGTGAGCCACAGTGTCAGTGATAGGAACCAAACAGGTCCTCTACAAGAGCAGTATACACTCTTAACCACTGAGTCATCTGTACAGCCCCTAGTTGGGTTAATAAAACCATAAGGATGTTAGTTGTAGCTGAAGATCCCAGATTTCTTACTGTTATGGGGAGAACCTTCATATATGATTCATATAATGAACTGCATGACAAAAAGGTAGTTATGTTTTTACCATGTAAAAGGCCATCCTTCAGGTCCCACGTGGGTCTTTAGTCCTTTATACTATTTTGTGTTTCCAAGTATAGTCTGTCGATCCTGGAGATGGTGGTCTATTTCTGGGATCAAACAAAAAGAATACAGTGAGCACTGACCAAAAGGGACGGCATTTTGGGGTTGTTATTGTTTTTAAGATAGGGTCTCTTCATGTTACTTTGGCTGGTCTGGAACTTGCTATGTCGATGAGGCTGGCTTCCAATTCAGGTATTTACCAGCTTTTGCCTCCCAAGTGCTGGTGTTAAAGGCTTTTAAAGCTGAAAGAATCTTGTAAAAGTATACCACCAGGCGTGATGACATACACTTTTGATCTCAAGACTTAGGAAGCAGGTCTCTGTAAGTTCCAGGCCAGCCTGGTCTACAAAATGAGTTCAAGAACATCCAGAGCTGTTACAAAGAACCCCTGTCACAAAACCACCACCAAAAACTCTCTATATACATAGGAGGCTGGGTGTGGTGGTACATGCCCTTAATGTCAGCCCTGGGAGGCAGAGACATCTGGATCTCTTGAGTTCCAGGCAAGTGTGGTTTACAGAGTTCCAAGACAGCCAAGATGACATAGGAAAACCCTATCTTGGAAAAAAGAAAAGAAAACAAAACAAAAACAAAGCCAAAGCCAGAAAAGGAAAAAAGGAATAAGAAGTAAAGAATATACCATGGGAGACCTGAAAGCAATTTTTGATTTTCCTGTCCATGGTGAGGGTGCTCATGTTATTTTGCCATTGTCACTGTCTACCTTCTGACTGAATTCTGATTGATGTCCCAATAGAAGCTGGGGGGAGGGGTGATGGACGGTTCGGGAACTGTAGGGGCTGGAACAGCAAAGTCTTTATGGACATGAGACAGTAGCCAGGCCTTGGAGTTATTAGCATATTTACAAAGTTTGACAAAGTGGTGAGACTGGACAAAGAGCAGCCTATGAGCAGTGCAGCTCCCCACAGGGCCTTCGAAGACAGAGAAAACTGTTTAAACCTGCATGGGTGTGTTCTCCTGAACCTGTGATCAACAACTCTGTCCTAAGGATATCTGCATGAAAGTCAGACTCTGGGAAAAATTATAATTTGATGATTTTAACCAGGTAGGTAAAAACTAAAGATTATGAACAGACTAGTGATTAAAACTTACAACACAGTGGTCTAAAACTGTTGCTATCAGTAAGTCTCTGGAGTGATTTATAATGTCTATGCTATAGACAAACTGTACAACATACACCTTGAGTAAATTGGATACTAACCGACTACAGGGAAAAGGTCCGCCTTGCCTCCAGAGGGCAGTGTTGTTTTCACAGCTGAAAGACTTTCAAGGTTCCTTAAAGGCTACAGCTGGGCGTCTGTTTCAGATGATGGTGCATTTGTCTGTCCTGAAGCAAGAGGCAAAAAAGCAAAAGCTTCCTTTTTCCTTGTCCTTTTATATACGATGCTACTGGGAGTTGTGGTCCAAACTGGATTGGTCTGCTCGCCCTAAATGATCCAATCAAGAAAATCCCTCACAGCCAGGCTTGCTGGCACACACTTTGGGAGTCAGAGGCAGATGAAGCTCTGTGAGTTCACAGCCAGCATGGTTTAACAAAACAAGTTCCAGGACAGCTAAGGCTGTTATACAGAGAAACATCTCGAAAAGCATAAAATAAAAAATAATAAAAAAAAAAGGAAGAGAGAAAATTGTGGTGATATTTGTTTATGATTTATTAAAGCCACTAAAGATCAAAAAAGCAAAGTAGCCAGCTGCCAGCTCTTACTTCTACCTCAGACTGAAAGGATTGATTTTGTCTCCACTAGCTCTCACCAAGCCTCGGATTGCAGCCTCTCAGCATGGCTAGAGACCCTGATCCTGTCTTAAATACCTCTGGTGAGTCCTGGAATTAAAGGTGTGAGCCCTGTTACTCTTTTAGACTGATTCAAACTCATTTAGCCCTGGGTGGCCTTGAACTCAGAGAGATCCATCTGCCTTTGTCTCCTGAGTCCTGGGATTAAAGGTGTATGCCACCACTGCCTGGCTTCTCTGGCTAACTAGCATAGCAGCTTTGCTATTTTGATCTCCAGTGCTTTAATAAATCATAAACAATAAAAAACCACAGAAAATCCCTCACAAGCACTACCTGATTCCAGATGCAATCAAATTCACAACAACGAACAAACATAATCCCCTCTGAATTTCTGTTGACACCACATATTCTCACTGACTCCCTCTCTCCACAACTCATCTCAGGCCAGTGTCTCACCTTAAGATTCTGCTTGAAACCAGCTCTTGGAGGCCTTTGGCTTTTGCTTTGTTCATAAGTACCTACTCTACCCCATTCTCTGGGGACTCTGGACAGCAAAGAGTTCTGTACTATTGGCTAATTTATGGACCCAGAGCAGAAAACTCCTAAGTGCATATCTAACAGGTCATCCAGCAGGTAAAGGCCCTCAGCTGCAAAGAAAACAGGTAATTACAACTTACATTCAGAATGGCATGTCAAGAAATATTCATCATAACCATAGTTTTGAAGAGCGAAAACATGGGGGAAACTTTTTATCTCGCTACTCTGCTACACCCTGCCTTAGGAGGCCTGGCTCTGGCATCCCGGTTCCTGCTCCTCTTCTGATCTTGCAAGAGAAGGCAACCTGCGACCCCAGACAAATTCCTTCTCCCCAATAGCCCACCGCCCAGGGTACAAACTACTCACCTGGTCAAAGCCGTAGGAGACCGCAAAGAAAGAAAGAAGGTGGCTCGGCGAGGAACAGGGAGGGACCTCCTGGGAAACGAAACTGAAACTTTGCAGCCCGGGTCTCTGGGACAGGACGCAGCTTTGCTCTGTCTTGTCTGCACACAGTCCTTGGTCCCCACGCGATCCAGACAAGGACTGCCATGGCTTCCAGTTCCTGCCCACCATCCCCGCTACTCGTGCGGCTGCCGGAGTCCATCCCACGGGGACACAGGAAGCTAGAGAAATACTTCCAGAGCCGAGCCTCGGGTGGCGGGGAGTGCACTGTCCAGCCCGTCGGCCCCAGCGCCCCTGACACCTTCGAGGTGAAGTTCCTAGACATGGAAGGTGAGCCGGGACAGGGGAAGTGGGCCAGGATCGGGTGCAGAGGCGGACCCTGCAAGTTTCTAAGCAGACGCGTTCTTGCTTCCACTGCTTGGTCCTTACTGTCTGTAGGAGCCGCTGCTGCCTACAGATTTTCTCCATCCCACAGTGGGGGATAGAGCCTAACATGCGCCAGGCTCCTGACCAGGCTTCCTAGGAATAGTTTCCATTTGCCAGCTGAGTTGCCCAATTTCCCAGAAGACCGACTTGAAAGGAGAAAAGGAAGTGTGGGGGTGGGGATTGGGGAGGAACACAGGGCCTTGTGCTAGCTAGGCAAGCGCCTCACCACAGAGCTACACCCCAAAGCGCTTTCCTGTTATAAGTAATGATTCTATTGACTTGTTTTTAAGGATTACAAAATAATATGTGACAACTTTTAAAAAATCAAAAGAAAAATTACCAGGAGATACACAATTGGAACAGTTTCGTATATTCTTTTTTGTGAATCAGCTAATGCATATACTTTCAAATCACTCTATAAACTTTTTGGGTCTTGGTTTGGCAGGGGTTTTGCCACTTAACTATACAGTATTATTCTATGTCACTGAAATGAGAGATTCCAGACCATGGCTATGTAGCCTTGGCTGGCCTTGAACTTGTGATCCCCTACCCCTATCTCTGCTGTTTAAGTGCTAGGGTTATGGGTGTATACCACAATGCCTAGAAACTTGGCTTCTAATAACCAAATGATGTTCTGCAGTAAAATTTAAGCTGTCTACTTTTGAGTTCTGAATAACATCCTCTCATTAACAACCTGCTATTCCAGAATGCCAGAAACAACTGTTCAGGTCCTCTGTTCTTATTGTAACACAAAACTTTTCCGGGATAGACACAACACACATGTCCACTTGCCCCAGATAGCGATCCCACCACCAAGTTATGGTGAACCATGAGTTTTATTGAGGGTACTTACAGGAATATGGGTGAGAGGTCACTTACAGGAGCAGAAATGACTCAAAGACAGCTGCATAGCCAAAGCCCAGACCAGCATTGGTGGCAGCTCACAAAGCTGGGAACCTGGAGCGCACTGCACAGCCTGCAGGCAGCTCCACAGGTGGGACAGTGCCCTTTCCCAGGTGCCTCAGTTGGTCTAAACCTCTTCCAGGTAGCTCAGCAGGTTTCTACTTCTTTCAGGCAACTTGACTTGTGCAAGTGTCTCCCCTGCAGTGGGGCTTTCCTGAGTCTTCCTTATATCTCTATTCTGCCTGTCTCAGAAGGACTTTGAGCTGTCTTCATTGATCACTCAGGCAGGGAGGAACCTAGTGAATCTGGTCAGTTTCAGGAACTTCCTGAAGCTCTTTTAAGTTGTTTGCCTTCTTTCTTTAGGAGCTTCCCTGCAGGATGGAATGTTTCAATCTTGAGGAAATTTACACACCGATCTCACATCCTAGGGTTCATCCAACTAAACAATGCAATATTGCATGTGTTTCCATAGTGTTTACATTGTGTGAGAGATTAAAGTCATCTAGAGATTCTTAAAAGTATATGGAAGGCCGGGTGTGGTTGCACACACCATTAATCCCTGCATTTTGGAGGAAGAGACAAGCAGATGTCTGAGAGTTCAAAGCCAGCATGATTTATATAGGGAGTTCCAGGACAGCCAGAACTACATAGTGAGACCCTATCTCAGAAACAAGCAAACTAAAAGCACATGGGAGAATATGGGTGGCTTTTGTGAAAGCCTGTAAGGGACATCTGTGGATTTTAGTGTCCTCAGAAGTTCCTAGAATCAACCCAGAGAGGACACTGGGGTCATCTGTAAAGTCTCTCATGTCTGTGTGAATGTGTGTGTTTAATGTCTCCCCTGAAGCTAAGGAGAGAGTACTGAAAAAGAGAGAACACCAGATGTTGATTGATGACAAACCTGTGACCATTTTCCTGGAAACCACTAAAAAGCCAGTGGAGGCCCTGAGACCCAGACCTCCATCTTTGACCCAGTCGCCAGCTGAGACTGCAAGCTCCAGACCTCCATCTTTGACCCAGTCGCCAGCTGAGACTGCAAGCTCCAGACCTCCATCTTTGACGCAGTCTCTGGATGATGCTCTGTCTGATGAAGAGCCTGTTTCTAACTCTGTTGACTCTATTGTCCAAAAGGTGAGTGTTGACAGAGGAGCCAGCACCATTGCTACGACCACCTCTGTGGTCACCACTTCTGTCTTTTTTTGGTTAAACAGCCTTGTGCTGGGGACTAGCTATGAGCTAGATGCTGGTCTAGGCACTGGGCTACAGATGTGAATAAACAGGGACAAGATTCCTGCCCTCGTGCAACCTGTATAGGGCTATAGAGGCGGGAAGACCATAAGCAAGTAAATGAATGGAGGATAAGTACTCCAAAGATAGAGACAAGCTAGGAGAATAAAAATGGAGTATTGCTTCAGAGAGAACAGGGTGGAGACATGCAAGGGGAGAAGGACTTTAACTTCATCTGATGTTTTTGAGCCTGATCGTGAGGGCTCTGAATTGCATTTATTTGTTATTTATTTATTTTAGGTATATGAGTGCTCTATCTGCGTGTAGGACTTTATGATAGAAAAGGGCATTATATCCCACTATAGATGATTGGGGGAACTGTACTCAGGACCTCTGGAAGAGCAGCCAGTGCTTTTAACCACTGAAGCATCTCTTCAGCCTCTAGGTTGCATTTGTAAAGGATCACTCTGGCTGCTGGCTTGAAGCACAGGCATAGGAAGAGGCCAGGCTGCAAGGTCAGAGGCTGCAGTGGGCCAGGTGGATGATGACAATGACCTAGATTCTAGACAGTCTTGATAGAGGAGTGACAAAGAGGCTGAATTTTGGAACCATCTTGAAGCTCTATCATAGAGAAAGAATCTCTCATGTGGATTAAAGATCATCTGCAAAAACTTCGAGTAGGACAAATCATTAGATAATGTGCTTCTATGCTACATTCAATATGCCTGTAGCCTTTTTTTTTTTTTTAAATCCAAATCTGTTGCTTGTATTACATCACTGAACTTATAAAATACAAGACTCAAAAGGACTTAACAACTTTGCAGGAGTTAAGTGTTTCCTGCTTTGGGGTTTTCTTAAATTAAGAAAGTAAGTAAGAAAAAAAAAGCCTATTGACTGGGGTGGGGGTGAGAATCCTTCTTGGATTTAGAGCCACCTTCGAAGCCCACAAACTCTTTCTTGAGAACTACAGCAACTTCCCAGAGAGCACTGATGCCTTCTCCACCCTTAGTCGTCAGGTCAAACAGTTAATGGTAACTCTAGACACAGATCTCTTAGCCAGAGTTTTAGAAAATGTTCGTGCCCAGGCTTCATTGCAAAGCAGTTATATGAGCCCCTGCCATGAGCCCTGGCCTTGGCTTTGTTTGTTTAATTCGCCTTTAAACTCCCTCAAGGTGAGTCTAATGTGCAAACGGGGCTGAGAAGCCTAGCTTGTAGCAAACTGCTCCTCTTGGTGGATATAAAGGAGTCAGCCCCTGCTAAGAAAAAAGAAAAAAAGATAGAGATCTTATTGTACCTGTGCCTTATAAACTTTCAGGTCTTTCTTGCTGTGACCGCTGAGCTGAACTGTGAACTGCTTTCTAAAGAGCAGAGGGCACACATAGCCACCATCTGCCCTAGCATCAAAAGCGTGGAGGGTAAAGACGGAATTGCAAAGGTGTGTGGCAACTTCAAAGATATTGAGACGATACATCACTTCTTGAGTGTGCAGCTTTTGGAAAGTGAGCTGAAACAGAAGTACCCTCCACAAAAATACCCCCCTTCCAGTGTGGAGAGAGAGCCTCCCAACCAGGAAGACTTCGGCAGGAACTTTTCCTCCTCGGAGCCAAAAGTCAGACAAGAAGATGTTTTTGAGAACTGTTTTGAAGTTTCTGTGCTTTTTCTTGAATATTTCCGACATGCTTATCCTGGCAGAATGCAGTCCATAGAGAAAGAATTTGGTGTCAACGTTCAAGTCCGAGACAGTGCTCCCAATATGGTCTCTGTAGACTTCACCACCAGCCAATCCGGCAACATAGAAGCAGCCTGTGACTCTTTTGTCAAAGACTTTCAGAAATGCACCCAAGCTCTGAAGCAAGATTGTGTCTCTTTAGAGGACCCTCAGACAGCAAAGGAACTCAGGGTGGAGTTGAACCGCTGCTTTCCAAAACTCCTGATAAAGGGACAAGGAAGAATGCTAACTCTCCTAGGCTCTCAAGCTGACATTTCAGCTGCCAAAGTAAAAGTCTCCCAAACTTCTGTCAAGATGCCTGTGAAAATAATGATCTCTGGTTACAAGACAGGGATTGAGGTTGACTCCACATACTTCAATCTTCTAAAACCTGAGTTGCTCCAGGAAATCTTGGAGATAGAGAGAAAGTATAACACTTCTGGGAAAGTCCAGGAGAAGAGCCAGAAAACCTGCATTCTATTTGATCCCCAGGATAAGGAGGTTGACCTATCTATGCACTCCTATGCAAGTTTCACTGATGCCTTTCAACATGCCACATGCCAACTAAGGACAGAAGTCCTGTCACTGAAACATTTGGGCAAGGGGAAAACTCACTTACACAAGACCAAGTTTGTCGATGACTTTAAAAAAAGGCACCCAAATGTACAGTGTGAGATATCTCTAGAGTCAATTACTTTGATTGGTTTGCCGATTCAGCTTGCACGGGCAAAGCATTATGTCTTAAAAAGAATGGAACTGTCCCCATCATCTGGAGAGAAATTAAATATGGATGAAGAAACACCCATGGATATCGATGGAAATGACTCAAATGCAGCTTTACGTCCTCTCAGAGGCTCTGCTGATAGCTCTGAAGCCTTGAAGGTGAACGAGAACGAAGACTACTGTGTCATCTGCATGGATACCATTAGCAACAAGCATGTACTCTCTAAGTGCAAGCATGAATTCTGCAACTCTTGTATCACCAAAGCCATGTTACTGAAGCCTGTCTGTCCTGTGTGTCAGACTTCCTATGGTGTCCAGATAGGGAACCAGCCAGATGGAGGAATCATGACTTCTGACACTTTAAGCCAGTCACTTCCGGGTTATGAAAACTGTGGCACAATTGTGATTAACTATGAAATAAAAAGTGGGATCCAAACAGTAAGTGTGCCTGAGGAATATGAGTTTCTTCTTTCTTTCTTTTTTTTTTTTTTTTTTTTTTTGTTATTGTTGTTTTGCTTTGTTTTCGAGATACGTTTCTCTGTATTGTTTTGGAATCTGTCCTGGAACTAGCTCTGTAGATCAGGCTTGCCTCAAAATCACAGAGATCCACCTGCCTCTGCCTCTGCCTCTGCCTCCTGAGTGCTGGCATTAAAGGCATGCACCACCACCCAGCTGTGAGTTTCTTTTTGCTATGCTAGAATTACCAGAGCCCAAGAGACCATCCTGTAGCCTTTTAGATGATGATTTTCCTAGGAAACCATTCTGTGATTGCTGGCAGGGACATAATAGAGGCAAAGGACATATTGTTTACTTAGAACTTGCATGCCTTTGAACGTATTTTGGCAGTGCTAGGGAATGAACACAACACCTGCACTTGCCAAGCAAGCACTCTGAGCTGAGCTACACTGCTCACCTTTCAAGTCTTTTTAAAGGGAGAGATCATATGTTAGGGTGGGAGGAGTTGGGTAGGTAGTATTGTAATGTGAAGAGGAGAACTATGAATTATTCAGACTATGAGCAAAGCAGTCTTATTTTGTTTTTTATTTTTGGCTTTCAACAGGCTTCACCGACAATGAACACAACTTTATTTTCTATATAACTCTTTTCTTCTTACAGAATGAGCACCCAAACCCAGGAAAGCCCTACCATGGAACATATCGAAGGGCATACTTGCCTAATAATGATGAGGGAAAAGAGGTCTTGGATCTGCTCCAAAAAGCCTTTCAAAAGAGGCTGATTTTCACAGTAGGGAACTCTAGATCAACAGGAGCCTCAAATGTCATTACATGGAATGACATCCATCACAAAACATCCCCATTTGGAGGACCAGAAAAGTAAGAGCCTTTTGAAATGTAATAGTTGCTAAGCAAAGAATTGAGTTCTTATATACTACCTTTTGAGCCTATGGGTATTAAAAGACAATCTCCTGAATCACAGTCACCAAGGGAAGACAAGGCAGAAACTCAGTCCAGCAGGAACCTGGAGGCAGAGACTGATGCAGAGGCCATGGAGGGATGCTGCTTACTGGCTTGCTTCCCATAGCTTGCTCAGCCTGCTTTCTGATAGCCACCCAGGACCACCAGCCCAGGGGTGGCCCCCCTTACAATGGTCTGGGCCCTTCCTACATCAATCACTAATTAAGAAAATGCCTTCCAGACTTGCCAATAGCCCAATGTTATGGAGGCAATTTCTCTGTGTAACACTGGCTATCTTGGAACTCACTCTGTAGACCAGGCCAGCCTGGCTCTGTGCTAAGATTAAAGTTGTATGCAACCACCATTCCAGGAGGCAGTTTCTCAATTGAGGTTCCCTCCTCTCTGATGACTCCAACTTGTGTCACATTGACATAGAACTAGCCAACACACACAGCAAATACTAATCCAATTTCAAAGACAAAAAATTTGTTCAAGCCAGGCAGTGGTGGCACATGCATTTAATCCCAGAATTTGGGAGGCAGAGGCAGGTAGGTCTCTGAGTTTGAGGTCAACCTGGTCTACAGGGAATACCAAGACAGCAAGAGATATTCAGAGGAACACTGTCTTGAAGGAAAAAAAAATGATCCCCTCAGTCTTCTACTCTGCCATTCATAAGGCAAAATTTGGGTATTAAATTTTGCATCAAAGCCGGGTGGTGGTGGTGCATGCCCTTACTCCCAGTATTCAGGAGGCAGAGTCAGGTGGGTCTCTGAGTTCAAAGCCAGCCTGATCTACAGAGAGAGTTGCTGGACAACCAGGGATAAATAATGAAACCTTATCTCAACAACAACAAAATTGTATCAAAAGAAGGGGGTTTCAAAATCCAAGATGAATGGTACCCAGTTTGATTTAAGTTAGGGTTTCCTGTTGATTTGAAAGCTAGATATTAAGAAAGTTATTTGTTTTGACTTCTTTTTTTCCTAGATTTATTTGTTTTTATGTGCATTAATGTTTTGCCTGTGTTTATGTCTGTATGAGTGTGTTAGATCCTCTGAGTTACAGACAGGTGTGAGCTGCCATGTGGATGTTGGAATTGAACCTGGTCTTATGGAAGAGCAGCCAATGCTCTTAACTGCTGAGCCATCTCTCCAGCCCTGCTTTGATTTCTTTTAAGGTCATCTGACTCTCCCTTACCCCTGTCTTCCCATCAATTCACAAAGATGCTGAACTCACATAGCTGATACATGGTAGAAAAAAAGTCTTATGTCATCCAGGAAATCTGAAATCTAATTGTACCTTATAAAACTCAAAATTCCTCTACTCATGGCATCCAAAAGAAATATATCCTGAGACCTTTTCAAATTTCCCTATTTGAAAATGCTATTATCATATGATTACTTTCTCTGTAGAAACAGTCATTTATAACATTACGTGCATTGGTACTTAGAATAAGCTAAGAATTTAAGCAATCTGGCTGGAAAACAGATACTGGTCAGTCAGCTGGGCACTTAAGTGACTAGATACCAGTCACTATCTGGATTGCCTGAGGATACTGAAACCCAGAATACTAGATGCTCAAATGTAAATTGTACAGTTTTTGTTGTTGTTGTTGTTGTTGTTTTGAGACAGGGTCTCACTGGTGGCCCAGGCTGGCCTCAGACTCACAGAGTTTTGACTGCTGTTGCCATCTGAGTGCTGGAATTAAAGGCCTGTGACACCATACCCAGCTATTGTACAGATCCTTAAGAATTATTTGGGAGGAAGCTAATGGGATTATTTTTTCCTCATGCAGTTTTGGCTACCCTGATCCTGATTACCTGAAACGTGTCAAGGAGGAGCTGAAAGCAAAAGGAATTGAGTAAGGAAAGTGCTGGGAAGATGTCTATCCACTTTCAAAAGAAGTGTGTTGGGAGGCCATATTTGTACAGGCCTAAATCTTTTTGTAGAAAAACTGTAGCATTTTTCATGTTAAATAGATGTAGTTTCTATAAAAGCAGAAGTCTGTTTGCTAGTCATTTCTAGAGCATCATTACTCTTTCATGGAAGACAAAATATAAAGGGCATGAGCTGAGGAGATCACCCATAAAGTGTGAAGACATGAGCTCAGATCTGCAGCAGCCATGTAATAGTTGCTGTGATGGCATATGTGTGTAATCATAGCACTGGTGAGTGGAGACAGGAGGATTCCTGAAGCCTACTGGCTAGTTAGTCTAGCCAATACTAAAACCGTGAGCTCCGGGTTTACTGAGAGACCTTGTCCAAGAAATCAGATGGATGAGGCATGGTGGTGCATACCTTTAATGAGAGTACTTGGGAGGCAGAAGTAGGCAATCTCTATGAGTTCCAAGACAGCCTGATCTACATAGCCCAAATTCCACCATAGTCATATTGAGACTCTGTCTCAAAACAAATATTAGGTGGACAGAAATAAAGACATATAACATCACCCTCTGGACCTCTATATGCACCTGTACACATGTGTGCGCGCGCCCACACAAACACACAGACACAGAGAGAGAAGTTTTAGAAAAGAAAAAGACAAAGGATTTCAGATTTTGCTGAGGAAATCTGATCTCATTCTTGGGGTGCTGACTGGCATGAAATCATCTTCTGTACCTTTCACTTGAACTACTGGCAACTAACTGAACCTCTCCTGTTGTTTGTTTTGCTTGAGACAAGGTCTCACTGTGTAGCTCTTGAACTCCTCTTTGTGTACCAGCTTGATCTTGAATTTAGATTTGCCTTCATCAGCCTCCTGTGTGCTGGGGTTAAAGACATGTGCTGTGTTCCTGCTTTTGTTTGTTTGTTTGTATGGGGTTTTGTGTTGCTGCTCTTTGTTTTTGGTTGGTTTGGTTGGTTTGGTTTTGGTGTTGGAACTTGAACCCAAGTCCATTAAGTTCTTTGATCCTGTTCCATGGCCATCCCTCTAGTAGTACATTAGTTGTTTGGTTTTTAATCTCTGCCTGGAGAGATTAAAGTAAAACCTTTGTGTAAATGGGAAAGTGAAACCCTTGTGTAAATGGGAACTTTAAAAATAGGATTGACTGGGAAAAAAACCACATTTCCCTCCCTACCAACAGCAAGAAATATGTCCAGGAAGTCAGGCAACTTTTGATAGTAAGTAGAACAAGAAGAGTGTTATTTTTCAGGACACAGAACATAATAGACAGTGCTTAATGTGTGTTTATTGCCTGACTCAGATTGCTAGTATCTCAACAGAGGGATGAGCATATAAAAAGATATGCTCCTCAAATCTTTGGCCAAAGTGGGACTAGAGACTTTGGTATTCATTTCGAAAACAGGTTCCTACCCAACACATATTGGTTAGACTCTGGCCAGGCCTTTCTTGTGGGCTCTTGGAACCTGCCCTGCCATGGAAGTACAACATGTTTTTCACATTTTACCCCCACACATTATGTTATGCTTTTTTAATATGTTCTATTTCAATTTTTAATAGATAAATTACCTGGCCTTAGTTTATCATTTTCAAGTAATTGATACCTGAGATGTAGTAAGGTGTTTTTTTGGGGGGGTTGTTTGTTTGTTTAATCTCTCTTATAGTCTTTCTAATCCTTTCCCTGGACATGAATACAGAAGAATTAAACTGGCATGTCATAGTTCACAGTAAGCAGTTCTCCACGACAGAAGAAAATCCCAGTAGACAGTGGTCTGTGTTCCAGCTACTCTCCAAAATGGTAGATGACATGTCTTGGATTTTTTCTTAAGACACACATGCACAACATAAGAACATTTTGGCCAGATAGTAGTAGCAAGCATTTATTGAGTAATTACCTTGCATGTACTTTACGTTGATGTGATTGACACAATTAGTAGCTCTAGTCTTTGCACAAAATAACTGATATCCAGGGAATATTAGTCAATCACAAAAGGTTACATAATTAGTAAGCAGAAGTACTAACTTTTACTTCAGTTCTGGGTTTTGTTTTTTCAAGACAGGGTCTCATGTAGCCCAGATTGGGCTTTTCCTAGGTAGCCAAGGCTGTTCTTGAACTCTGACTCTCCTGCCTCACCTCCTACCCAAGTTCTTGCATATGTCCTAGGCTGATCTCTGTTGTTGTTTTCTTTTCTCTCTCTCTCTCCCTTTTACTCCTTGAGGGGCCTGCCGTCTCCCAAATAATCACACATGGAGACTTATTCTTACTTATGAATACCCAGCCTTAGCTTGACTTTCTAGCCAGCTTTTCTTAATTGAAATTATCCCATCTACCTTTTGCCTCTGGGCTTTTACCTTTCACTGTTTCTGTATATGTTTTCTTTACTTCTTATTCCTTTAAGGCCATGGGCTGGGTGGCTGGCTCTTACCTTCTCCTGTCCTCTTTTTCTCAGTCCTTGATCTCTCTTCCCAGATTTTTCCTATTTATTCTCTCTGCCTGCCAGCCCCACCTATCCCTCCTCCTGCCTCGCTATGGGTCATTCAGCTCTTTATTAGACCAATCAGGTGTTTTAGGCAGGCAAAGTAACACAGCTTCACAGAGTTAAATAAATGCAACATAAAAGAACGCTCCACAGCATAAGTGAATGCAACACATGCTAAGCTAATATTCCATGGCAGATCTCTCAGGGTCTGCCGGCCTCAGCCTCCTGAGTGCAAGGATGCACCAGTATGCCTCACTCCTACATCCAGCTTAGACCTTTACTGTCAATGATTCAACAAGTTTTTATCATTAAGACTAACTGATCATTTTCTATCTTCTAATTTAGTAGTTAAATTTACTTCAAAGAAGCAAAAAAGGAAAAATGGTTTCTGTTAAGTTTGGATCTTGTATTTCATAACATGTGCATATGCAAATTCCATATGGTGTAAATGCTTAACGGCATTTGGGTTCCTGCTTTGCAAGGTGTTGTTATCTGCCTTAAATAAAGTTAGGCCCTTATTTACAACAGACTGTGTGGTTTCCCTCATTTCTCATTACTTTCTCCTTAGGTTGGAATTATGAGTATTTCCTATGACACACATAGTATATAGTGGCGTGTGGGTATTTGGGTTGATTGTGTAGCTCAACCATCATAGTACAACTCTTTTTCTGTGGACTTCTCCCCAAAAATAAAAAAATCATATTTGTTAGTATTTTTCCTGCCTAGTTAATATAGGTTGCTATAGAGACAAAGGTAGACCACAGGGACAGAGACATGGGTCAGAGGGTAAAGGTGCTTGGGACAAGCTTAACAATCTGAGTTTGATGCCTGGAGCCCACATAGTGGAAGGAGACAAGCTACTTTTCAAGTTGTCCTCTGACTGTTACATGTGTGCCATCACACACACACACACACACACACACATTCACACACTCATCACACACACACACACACCAACAAATAAAGAACTTTTACTTTTGTTTTATCTTAATGTGTATGAATGTTTTGCTCACATGCATGTGTGTTCTGTGTATATGCAGTGTCTTCAGAGACCAGAAGAGGGCGTCTGAACCTCCTGGAGTTAGAGACAGTTGGAAGTTATCATGTAAGCTGGGGATGGAACCCAGGCCCTCTGCAACAGCAACAAGTGCCCCTTTAGCCACCAAGCCATCTCTACAGCCCAGTAATTTTTTTCTTTTTAAGTAGGCTACAGGTTTCCTCTTTTCCAATTGTAGAACGCATAGTTGGTGTCCTGCCAAACCTATTGCCCTGTCCTTGCTTACTGAGCACTAGCAGCAGATAGGGGCGATCTCCTCTCCAAAGGTAAAAACGCTAAAAAACCAAAAATAACATCAAGATGGAAGTTAGGAGGAAAATCAAAATACTATTTAACTTTTTTTTTTCTGTGGACTTCCCTTTTGGTTGCCCTGAGACAGGGTTTCTCTAAAACTTTCTTATTCTTATCTCACTGGTTTGGAGCTGTTCCCACTTTGATCTCTATAAGGGAGTAAGGGAGTTTATTTAGCATTGTTATTATTAGTGGTAGTAAGCATTGTTATTATTATTATTAGTAGTAGTAGTAGTTAGCATTATTATTACTACTAGTATTAGTATTTAGCATTAGTCCTCTCTGGTCCTCATGCCACCCTCTGACATGCAGTATTTGATTTGTCTTTCTGAGTTCAACTTATTTTGATGAACACGATGATCTCCAGGTCCCTGCACACCGACATCCACTGTAGCACAGGTCACCAAAGCCAACCTAGGTGCCCATCGCTGGGTGAATGGATAAAGAAAATGGGCTTCTCGAGGTCAGAGAGGTAGCTCAGCAGTTAAGAGTACCTGGTGCTCTTGTAAAGGACCATTTGATTTTTAGTGCCTACATGGTGATTCAGATATGTCAGTGAGTCCAGTTCCAGGAGATCTGACACGCTCTTCTTTGTAGACCAAGGCTGGACTTGAACTCAGACATCTGCCTGCCTCTGCCTCCTGAATCCTGGGAATTAAAGGCCCTGATACCTTCTTCTGATCTCCATGGGCACCAGGCACACACATGGTGAACATACATACATGGCAGGTAATACTTATAAAAATAATCAAAAAATATTAAAAATGGGCTTCATATACACTACATTTTGAGAGAACACCACTGATCTAATCTCTTTTTTGAGGTGGTCTTTGGTAGCCTCCTGATGCCCTAAGCAGTGCTTTGTAAGCTTGATCATAGGTTAAAGTCAACTGGATATAGGGCTAGATTGATGCTCTGTGGCTAAGAGCTTGGTGGCTCACAATCACCTGTAACTCCAACACCAGGGAATCTGCTACCCTCTTCTGGTCTCTAGGACACCCTTACAATATGTCACCTGCATATGAAAGACCCGCGGAGGGCATGGACCCTCACGCCCCTACTCAGGAAAGGCGCCCCCCCCCCCAAATCACTCACGAGAAGCGGTCTTGATGCAAAAGCATGAGGTCTTTTATATTCCAGTGCACTGGGGTCCACAGCCATACTCCACGAGGGGTAAAGGACTGGGAACCCTTGGTACAGGGTTCAGACAGCTTTTATAGGGTTACAACAAAGCCCGCGCATCACAAACCAATTATCTCATAGCATCCAGTGTGGACCAATCAATTTGAACTATCCAAGCCTGCTCTTTGCCCAGGAAGTCTGCTTTCGCTAGGGCTTTTGGGTAGTGTGGCACAGCTCATTTCCTGTTCTCATTCACTCACAGGTGTTGTCAGTAACTAATACTAGTAGTAATAATAATGCTAACTACTACTACTAATAATAATAATAACAATGCTTACTACCACTAATAATAACAATGCTAAATAAGCTCCCTTACTCCCTTATAGAGATCAAAGTGGGAACAGTCAAGAATGACCTTTTTCCTACTCACTGCTAGGGGGCAGAGTCTAGGGAAAATTAAGCTAAATTTTTCCATCCTTCCATTCCCCACTTTTTCTCTTGTTAATAGTTCTAATCTTAGAACTGAGAGGACTAAAAGGCAATAATTTGGACCCCATTCATTCGCTCCCTAACAAAAGTAGCAGTGAGCAACAAATAAAAATGAGCAGCTGTAAGAGGCTGTTTCTGGGTCCCATAACCTTTGAGTGGCATGGGGTGGGTCCAGGGGAAGAGGACATATTCTGGAACAGCTACAAAGTGGGCCCCTTTCATCAAGTCCCAAAGTTGCTGTGTGGTGACATCTAACGTAGACTGAATCTCCTCCAACTTGGAAGTGATGTGGAACTTTCAGATCTCTTTCAGCCGAGTAACCTTCCTGGAGCTGCTTCCATGTTCGCTGTCTCACCCATTTGAACACCTTAAGCCTAGCAAACAAAGGCTTGGAAAACAGCACATTAGCACCATGTACAGAGGCAATTTTTATCAGTGGAGGGCCCCCTCCCATAGAGCCAATTATAGGGGGTCAGCCCAAACAGTCCAGGGGTGTTTCTAACCCTGAAAAGCACAAAGGTTAGGAGAGCTATTCAATCATTAATGCCAGTCTCTGTGGTCAATTTAGTGAGGGTCTCTTTTGTTCTGTTTACCTGCCCTGAGCTTTTTGGTCTGTATGCACAATGTAACTTTCAATTAACCCCCACCTTCTTGGCCAGTCCCTGACTTACCTGGGCAACAGTAGTTTCTTAGTCACCATGGTTGAGGTCTCCTTCTTGGTAGGGTAAGTCTCTACCCATCCTGAAAAAAGTCTATAAAAACTAATTGGCAGGCTTTACCTCCATGAAGTCCATTTCCCAGTGAGTGCCTGGATGGCTTCCCCTCAGTCTCTTCCCAGGAGGCATTCTTGCAGGGTTAGCATTAACCAGCTGACAAGGCACACAATGTTTTACTATTGAGCCACCCATCCTCAATAGTCTCAGAACATGACAAGGGGATGCTCTAACCAGTCTCTGCAGATGTTTAGCCCCTAGGTGGGTTGGACATACTCTAACCCTTCTGAGTAGGGTAAAGCTTCTTTCTATCTGAGGTATAGCAAGTCCCCTTTGTTTACAGATAGCCCCTGTGCACATGTACAGTTATAAAAGCCACTGCTGCTCCCAGGAGACAAGATTTAGAATTCCTGGCAGTTTGTTTTTGTGATAAGCTAGAAACATCTTTAATGTTTTCTCTTAGTTTTCCATAGGTTCATAGAGAAAACATGGACAGCTTCAACAAGGAAGAACCTGACTGACTTGTCAGTCATTGAAGACTTCACTGTCTGGGACATTCTGGGTCAAAAAAACTAACGAAGTCTCTTCTGATGATGTTGTGGACTTCAAAGACAGTCTAAAGAAACAGCTAAGGTGATTTAAAGCTATTTTTCTTCAAGGCTCGAGAGATATCTTAGTGGATAGGAATACTTGTTCTTGCAGAAGACAGGGATTCAATTCCCAACAGCCACATAGGCTAGGTCATCTCTTCTGGTATCCATGGGCACCAGACGTGCATGAATGATGTGAACACACATGTGTACAGGCACTCACACATACACATAAAATAAAGTAAGGGTTTTTTTAAAAAAAAAAAAGCTTTTCCTCATTGGACGGGGCAATACACATCTTTGACTCCAGCCCTAGGGAGCCAGAGGTAGGAGGATGTCTGTGAGTTCCAGCCAGCCTAGTCTACATAGGGTCTTTTTTCTTATGTCGCTCAGAGACAGTTAGCATTATAACACTGATGCAAAAGCAGAGGGTATTCGTTAGAGATCTTTCTGGCCAATGAAATTAAATGTGTCTTTAATATGGTCTCATATCCTTCTTATGTGGGTATTTATTTTTGCCTTAACTTACATTTTATTTTACTTATGTGTATATGCGTGTACAGGGGCATGTGCATGTGTAAAGGTCAGAGGATAACTTACACGACTTGGTTTTTCTTCTACCATGCAGGTCCCAGGGACTGAATCCAAGTCATTAGGCTTGGAAGCAGGTGCTTTGTCAAAGGTCATCAGTTGAGCCATCTCAGCGGTCCAGACCTTTGTTATTTTTAGATGGGTTTCATGCTGGTGCTTGAACTTGGCTGTGTAACTGAGGGTTGCAGACAAGCAGCACCAGGCCTGGTTTATCTAGGCTGAAACTGTACTCAGGGTTTCATGAATTCTAGCATAGCACTCTACCTGCTGAGCAGCAGCTAGCTCAGCTTCCTGGGTTTTGTTGTTTATTAATTTCAAATGTTATATTATTTTTATGTATATATTAGTTGTGTTTGGGACAGGGAGACACCAGGGGCCAGACAGACAGATAGAGATGGAAGAAGCAGGAAAGCCAGACACACAGAATGAAAGAAAGGTAAAAATCCCCAAGGCAAAGCATAGATGAATAGAAACAGGTTAAATTAAGTTATAAGAGCTAGTGGACAAGCAGAAGATAAGGTCAAGCTTTCATAATCAATAGGAAGTCTCTGTGTCGTTATTTGGAAGCTGGCTGGCAGAACAGAGAAAGAGCTAGGCTACAATGGTGTCTCTTCACAGCAATAGAAACCCTAAGACAATACCTGTCTTTTTAACTTTTAAATTTTATTATTT